GGCCTGACTCACTTACCTGTCCCCAGCAGAGTCGCCAAGCTGTCGAAACCGTCTTTCGCTTGGGCCCCGAAATTGGGCTTCGACGTGAAATAATTGAGTTAGAGTCGCCACCGACCATTTTAAAACGAATTTAGGTGGGTCGGACACCATCTTACCTGATCTGCGTTTTACCAAAAATGTGTCGGGTTCGGGAGTCGGTTACGGTAAAGGAAGGATTAACACCCTCGAACCGCCCTTTCGGTACCAATTAATTTATCGGTTGTCTTTAATTGCGAAAATAAAAAATTTAAATTTAAATTTAAAATATTCGATTCGAATTGCTTACCTTTGATCGATTGAAATTTATCTAAAAAGCTAAAAATGTTAGAGAAAATAAACAAATAAATAAATAAATAAATCAAAAGAAAGAAGAAAATAAAATAAAAAAGAAAGATTACATAAATAATAATAATTTTAAAAAATAAAAATAAAAACAAAGGAAAAAATAATGGAATTAAAATAAAAAAACAGGAACAAAAATAAGATAAAAAGGAATAAATAATATATATGTATAATGTAGTATTTTAAATATATATATACAAAAAAATAAAGGTGTTTAAAAAAGAAAACAGAAAAAACAAAAAATAAAAATAAAGATATATATATATATATATATATATATATATATATATATATATACAAATATTACTGTTAGAATAAATTACATAAATGAAAGAAAAAGAAAATATAAATAATAAGAAAATAATAAGGAAAAAATTATAAAAAATATATAAAAACGTATGGAAAATAAATAATAAAAACCAAAAAGAAAATAGTAAAAAACAATAAAATAATAAGTAATAAAAATAAAAGAAATAAATAAAATATATAGAATAATAATAGCAAAACAGAACCCAAAAAATAATAATAAATAAAAATAATAATAATAATGATAAAAGGACATATATTAGAATATTAATAAAATAAATAAATAAAATATAAAAAAGGACTGAATTGAAATGAATTGAAATTAATGAACTAAATTAGTAATGAAATGATCTGCAAGAAAGAATACAAAGTTAGGGGGCCTTAACATTAAATAACCCAAAAAAGGGTGTGGGTTACAAAATGCTTGAAACTACAGCTTTTACACGGTTAAAATAATTCAAGACTTTGGGGTAAGGAACCCTTTGTATCATTCTTCTGCCTCTAAAAAACAGAGATGTTATCTCTAAAAAAAACCCTTCCGAGCTCCTAGGGTTGAAGAGAGAGTAAAGGTTGGCTGACGCTCACCTTGGCTACCCATCCATGCCTCAGATCGACAGCGATAAAAGGTAAAAATGGTTCTTTTGAACCCAAAACTCTTAAAAGATCTCTGAATGTCTAGAGCTAATAGTGCCAAATCACCCTCCTTAGATCTAAAAGTTTAACGAGATTACCCTCAAAGGCTCGTAGATCCTTCTTTTTCTGATGAAGAAATCGTAGTGCTCTCTCTAAAAAATAAAAGGATTCGATATTTTTTACTCTTCTCCTCTGTATTTTTTTTTTGAAAAAACTCTGAATTTTCGTATCTATTGTGTGTAACACTTGTGTAAACGTCCGTTCCTGCTTCCGTATTCCCCCTTTATTGTGATGTATCATGCATATTTATAATGTTTAAAAGCCTTGTTCCGTTTGATTCTAGACTTCTAACGATGCCAAACTTCTTTTTTGTTTGTTGGTGATATTGGTGCCGAGAAATCCGGTGCATGGGTTGTTGGATGCGTGAGAAGCGGTGCTGGTGGAGGGCTGAAACGGTTGTTGACTGGTTCGGGTCCTGGAATATGTAAAATAAAGAAAAAATATATTATTTAAGTAATATATATATGTGATATATATATGATATTATATATGGATGAAAATTGGTGTCCACAGTTTCATAGCTCATTCGCCCAAGGTTATATCTCCTCCTTGTTCACGATGTTCGTTTTGCTTTTCGTATTAGAATCTTGGTGTCATTCTCCAGACAAAAACCCCCTGGGAACCAACGATTTTTTTTGGAAGTAAAGAGAGAGAGAAAGAGACCCCTTCCCGGTTTAAGCTTCCATAACAGTGATCTCACTCCTCACCATTACACGTTTCAGAAAGGATATCCAACACAATTCAATTCCTAAATTAAGGAATCTGGCAACCAAGGTGGGGCTTCCACGCTTTATTGATTTGGTTAAATTCAAGTGCCCACGCTGAAGCTCCCCTTGGTATCTCCCCCTAAAAGTCAAAAATTGATTTGAATAAATAGGCGGCCAAAGACTCCTACTTTCATTTTTTAGGAGAGACGTGCTAGGTGGTGGATGGGGTTGGTAGTTAGGTGTTTAGTGGTTTAGTGGGTTGAACATGGGGTCTATAAAAAATAAAATAAATAAATAAAAAATATTAATAGTAATAATAATAATAAATAATATAATAAAATATTTTTGTAGACCCGGACAAAAACGGGTGTCTACAATTATATAAACTCTTTCACCACCTTATTTATGATCTCAAGCAGAGCAATTATAATGGAGGTATATAATTATTTAGAAGTTAATCATAAATGGATTAATGACATGGAAGAAAATTTGCTATGTAAACCCTTCTTATCATGTTATTTATAGTCTCGACCAATAACAATGGAGATATTTAATTACTTGAAATTTAATTATCAACAAAATAATCATATGAAAAAAATAATAATACAAATATTTTTTATTGGTTGAAACCATAGACAACGTGCTATCAAAACTTCGAACAAACATGTAATAAGGGATTCAAAATTGTAATCAGGCATAGTCCATTGATTATAGACCCTATTCATAATTAAAAGGTTTTTTGAAAAAAAATTAGTTGAGATTAGAATTTCAAAAAAATAGAAATACCAAATTAAAAACAACACTTTATCTTTTTTAGTAAAAATACTCTTGTAATAATATTAATAAAACTTTAATAATTGTTTTTATCTTTTTCTAATTGAGTTAAAAACCAACCCAGTTTAAAGTTTAAATATAATATAGGTATAAATAGATGCAGGCTGTTTACCATAGTGTTGAGGCTTGATCAGTCCATATCAGAGCCTATAGTTTTGGGCCACCTTTTGTGTTGGGTAATTAAGGTTTTGTATAATTCAATATTATTGAGTTCATGAGGCTCGTTTAAACTTCAATCCCATTTTTTAAATAATTAATCAGATAATTATTGAGATAGAGAAAAAAAATTAAAAAAAAAGTATATTTGCATTAGATACAGTTTAACTTGTTGTAAATTATATTGTTGGAGTAATTTATTTAATTTTTAATATTTGTAACATTATATTGTATTAGTATTACATTAATGTTAATTAATGATTTCAGTTTTTTTCGTGTGATTAACTGTAATTATTAGTTTGACATTTTATTTCGGGAAAAGGGAACCAACGGGAAGAAGATTGTACAATGAGAGAAAAAGGAGATTAATCTCTTTCAAATATACAACGTAATTCTGAGAATGTAATGAAATTGGACTTTGATAGGCATATGAATAAATCATGTTTTTCACGTATCTTTGTTCGCTGAACAAGAGTGTAGCAAGTTATAAATTCTATTTCGATAAAATATGTATTTCGATTATTATGAGATTCATAAATAAAACAATTAATCGTACGACACGTATATTTGGATGTGTATTGTTATATAAGTATGATGTTTTGATTACAATTTACAAGATAATATCTGTTTAGAATTTTCTTAGTAAATTGACAATAGACGTATACACTCGCTACAGACCCAGTTGTTCAGATTCAAAACTTTTTGGAGGAGTTATATTCCCTTCTACCACTAAAATCGCTTGATGCGTCCATTATACTTGGAAATATTAAAAATATACATGTCCGTATGTGTCACAGGTCTAAGCCGAAATATCTGTCAATGTAAGTGTATTTTGAACCGAAGCTAGAGAGCTAGAAGCTGGAAGCAGGGAGGCTGATCTCTAAAGTCACAAGCAAGAGCAAATCACTGAGAAGAAACATATATTCAACTAGGTACGTAGGTTCCACCGTTTCTGCCTAACTGATAAGGCCATTCACTTTGCCATTTGGTGCTGATTCCCTAAAACACATTTGCAGGATAGCATTTCATGCATAAAATTATATAAAAATGACCAATTGTAAATTCTTATCTGTATACGTGTATTCCAAGAAAGCATTATCTGCTTCACAAGTTTCCATATCCTACAATGTTTTTAAGAAATGTATACACAGATAATCAGATATAGGTAAAAGCATGCATTATCTTGATCTAACCAAGATTATTCTCCTAGTTATTTAGTTGAGGGACCACAAATTATCTAGAATTCCCATGTTTATCTGAAATATCTTTTGCATAACAGTGCACAAGCAAGTATTATATAAAGCCAGTTACTCTTCTTACTCAGTACTCGCCATTTGATTTAGTGATCTGAAATTGAATAACAAGAGAGGTATAAAGATGGAGTCCAACCCCAAAGGCAGAATCAAGGGGAAGCTGACGCCGCTGTACACAGCGGTCAAGCCGGCAGCATCCGCCATTCAATACATCATCAAGGTCAAGCCAAGCCAGGGTTCTTCTACAACAGCTTCAGTCGATTTTCAAGTTCGCCGGGACTACATGATTTCACAACCAAAGAGGATCTCATTTGTTGTTCCTACTGACAAGAACCGAGAAAATTTAAGACATATCGACAATTTCTTTGGCGTTGTCGGAGATGAAAGTGTTGATCTTAAGGCTGCAACTTACATCTCTTCTGTTCAAGAACGTTTCAAGCTTGAAAAACAACTTTGAACGAATTAATCTCCCAAGAAATTAATCTCTTGTGTACATGCTTATGTTCTTTACTTGTTCTTACTACAATACTAATAACACGTTCAACAACTTTTATAACTAGACGTTCTTCATTATTTATTATGTCGATGACATCAACATCGATTATGTCGAAACCATAACATGACCGAAAACGCTATTGAGACTTGAGGATGATAATAGACTTAGCCATGGAAGATGGCCTTAAAAGTTTCTTCTCTAAACCAAATTGTCTCCCTGTGAAAGTTCTCCTCGCTTTTGAAATTTCTAAACACGCATTTACCACGGTGCATAGGACCTACACAAATTACACAAATAATCACAAGGCAACAAGATTTCAAAGCAAAGGCTCAACTTTACACATGCAGGTGCAGCTGCTTTACAATTCGTTTCTTTAATAATGGCAATAAAGCAATCTAAAAGAAGCCTTGAAAATAAAACAATGGCGTTCTCCATAAAGCAAACCCACTAAAGCTTCCATACCTTACCTCACCATTCAACTTAACCCCTTCTTTCTCACTAAGTTTAGCATCATCCCCTCCTCCTTCACCACCAAGAAAAACATATTACTTCCATTGCCACCCCCTACATAATATATTGCACATCTCTCCGTTTTCCAATTTGTATTGGAAGACAAGTTCTCAAACATATTCATAAATTTCGCTTCGCTAAAGCACTACCGGAGTTGAACTAGAGAGGGGAAAACGGTAAAGAAAGCGAGGAAAATGAGTGCGGACTGGGGACCGGTGATCGTTTCAGTAGTTTTATTCATACTCTTGTCACCAGGGTTGCTGTTTCAGCTGCCATCCAGGACAAGGGTGATAGAGTTTGGTAATATGTGCACAAGTGGTATAGCTATCCTGGTTCATGCAGTAATTTACTTCTGCATAATCACTATCTTGATCGTTGCCATCGGAGTTCACATACATATCAACTGATCCAAACTCTCAAGAAAAAAGGGTACTCGTTTGTTTTTTCTCCTTCATTGGCTCTCATTTTTTTTTTTCATGCTATAAACCAAATTTCTCTTTTAGTTCACTATTTTGTTCATTGTTGCTTGCAAGAGAAATCTCGACACCAGTGTAATAATGAAAGCTATTTCATGTGAAGGTGGTTCAATTTGTATGAAATTAATTCAGGCTAAACATCTTTGATAATTTCAAAATTTGTCCATGTCAAATATTTTTGTTTTACTTTATGGTTTCTAGCTAGCTTAAAGCTCAATTATTTATGAATTATCAAGCAATAGAAAAGCATTGAATCCCACCATTCAAAAAACAAAGCTTTTAACATAATATATCAGCCACAAACAGGCCGCCGGCGTTTAATTTATTCAGATGGTGAAGGCTAAGAAATTGGACAAAGATAATCAAATCCCAATATTAAAGCCCTTCACTTGAAAGAGATGAAAAAAGTAAGCTTTGGGTAATAAAGATATGTGCCACAAACTGCAAGAAGCTAATACAAAGATCGATAAAGCAAGTAAAACCCACCACAGATCTTGAATCTCACTGGTGGGACTCAGCCGGTGTAGATATGGAGGTGGAGGGCTACGATCAAAACAGCATAGATGGAGAAGAAAAGAAGAGTGTGGATAGCAATGGCCTTGCCATTAGTCTTCATGCTCCCAAACTCCAGCTGCTTGTTGTTCCCCGGGAATGAAAACAAAAGTCCGGGTGATAGCAGCACAACTAACACCACCCCGATGAGTACAGGTACCCAATCTGCCATTACAAGAGAGTTGCTTCGCTTAAAATCTAGAGTCGACCGAACCAGGCCTGTAGAGGTTCAGAAACCAGTTCTATGAGTTGAGGTGAGTTTGTGTGAAGAAGATGAGGTTACTTTCAAGGTCGCAAGTAATGGTAAGTGGGAGCCATTTGTAAGCACAAGAAAGAATTGGGCATTGGGGTGCGGCTTTGTCTGGGGTCGGTGCTGATTGCTGAAATCTAATTCTTGCCAATAGATTAAGTTTTGTCCATTTCTTCACTAATGGAGATGGGATTCAGATTAGGATTAGGATTAAAGTTTATCAAATTTTCATATATTTATGGTTGCGTTTTATTATAAACAAATGATAAAGACAAATGGTATAATGCGTGAAAATACTCTTAGGTGACGTTTGGTTCGTTGAAATGTTTATGAGTGAATTATAATTTGTGAATGAATTGGAATCTGTAGGAATTAGAATTCAATTCCATATTCAGTTTGGTTGACAGGAAATGAAATTAGAATTCAATTTCATATTCTGTTTGGTTCGCAGACATGTCAGATGAATTTGATTTCAGTAATGTAAACTGACAGAATTATCCTTCTAATTTTTTTACTTTATTTTAGTTTATTTTATAACTTACATGTAGTAATATATTATAAAAATTAAAAAATATTAAATTTTCATTTTATTGATTAATTATTCATTTCAATAAATTATAAAATCATGCAAATAAACATTATAAGTTAAAATCATCGCAATCAAAATATGTTAATAAGTTACCAAAAGATAGAGCAATATTTCGATAAATTCCAATCGGATTATGTTAATTAGTTACAAAAAAATATACAAAAAACTATTTTTATTCAATATATAAATTAGAAACTCGACCCGACATGACTCAAAAAAAAATTTAATCAATAAAAACATTGATTTAATTGAAAAAAATTATATAGAGAGGGGTATTATTGTAATTATTCCTAAAATTATATATTTTTTCGGGTTGGTCTTTTTTTTCACCCTAAACCCGAACCCGACCCGACTTGACTGAATATCACACTTAAAAAAACCCGACCCGACTCGACCCGAATATCACACTTAAAAAACCCGACCCGACCCGAACAAAATAAAGTTTCATCCGACCCGACCCGAATATATGAATTAGAAATCCGACCCGACCTGAAATAATAAAAAATTATTTTTATTTAATAAAAACAGTGACTTAATCCGACCCGACCCGAATTATATATATTTTCGGGTCGGTCCGGTTTTTTTTACCCTAAACCCAACCCCGACCCGAATATCACACTTAAAAAAACCCGACCCGACTCGACCCGAATATCACACTTAAAAAACCCGACCCGACCCGAACAAAATAAAGTTTCATCCGACCCGACCCGAATATATGAATTAGAAATCCAACCTGACCCGACCCGAAATAATAAAAAATTATTTTTATTCAATAAAAACAGTGACTTAATCTGACCCGACCTGAATTATATATTTTCGGGTCGATCCGTTTTTTTCACCCTAAACCCGAACCCGACTCGACCCGACTTGAATATCACACTTAAAAAAACCCGATCCGACCCGATCAAAATAAAGTTTCACCCGAACCGACCCGACCCGAATATATGAATTAGAAACCCGACCCGAAATAATAAAAAAATATTTTTATTCAATATATGAATAAGTTATCAAAGGATTGATGAGGGTAGTATGATCAAATTTCAATTCCCTCCAACAAGGAAATTGAATTCATCCATTTTAGATGTAATTCACTTTCCCTCATTTGATAGAATTGAATTCCATCCAGTTCCCTTAAAAAACTTGAACCAAACATGGGAAAGAGGTGGAATTGGATTCTAATTCCCACCAATTCCAAGGGATTTCATCCAACCAAACGCCACCTTAATATTTAATTAAATAATTATTTTTATATTTAAAATATATAATTTAATATTTTATTTTAAGATAAAAAATTTAAAGTTTAATTAAATAATTATTTTAGCCTATATTTTTTTATTTTAGATTATTGATCATTATTAAATAATATTTTTTATTTAGAAAATACTTTTTACCTCAAAATAAAATGTAAGAGTTAAAATACTAAAAAAATAAAATGAATGTCGAAAAAAATTAAGAAGTAAAATATTATAATTATTTTTTTACTTGGTGCTGGTTGTCTTAAATATTAATAATGAAAAGGAAGAAGCAATGGAAAAAGTAGTTTTATGATCATTCCAGATTATGCATCTCTGTTTATTTGATGGGAAGTTTTACGGTGCGACAGTCTTAATATATGATTAAGGAAAGACGTTATCGGTTTTGTTATTATTTTTTTAATAAAATTAAAAAAAATTACTTAAAACATTATTATTTCTACATAAAACATTAATGTTTTTTAACATTTTCGGTAAAGTATCCAATAATAACAAAATCGGTAGAAAAATAATAAAACTGGTAGTGCTTTACCGGATATATTAATAAAACCAGTAAAACGTTCAATAATAACAAAACCAATAGAAATAATAATGTTTCTGATAATTTTTTACCGATTTCGTTAAAAAATAATAATAAAATTGATAATACATTTTCTAATTATACATTAAAGTTGTGGTACATGACAGTGATGACACTCTCTTTTCTTTGGTTGATTGGCTAATCGCAGTTCTATTCTTCTTTTCCATTATTAAAGGATGTAATAAACTGATCCTTCAATGAACGGTGATGGATCCGAGCACCAATTAGAACCAACAAATAGTTGAATACAATGTACTGAAATGAATAGCGAAAACATAAAAAAAAAAAAGAGGAATAATTTAAATTAGCTTTATGTGATTCTCATTCCCTCTATAATTGACTTAAAGTCGCCATTAAATTATGCCTTTTTCCTTGGTGTTTGATTCTTCAATATTTGTACCAAGTCTGGGCACTTGAGGATCTCCATTCATATCCAGAAAGTCATATATAGAAAATGAACGATTGGGCACCTTCACTGATAGCAGCAGCGTTGTTTGCATTTCTTTCACCGGGTTTACTGCTGCAACTCCCTGGGAAGCATCACCCCATTGATTTTATGAACATGAAGACCAGTGCGGCCGCCATTTTTGTGCATTCTGTTCTCTATGCTTTGTTCCTCATCTTGTTCCTTGTTGTTCTTCATGTCCACCTCTATATCTAAAACTACAAACAGGGTTTCTCAGCCACTCAATTGATTCTTAGGATGGAATTCTCGTTTTCTTTCTGTGTTGTTTATAAGTTCTAATCTGTTGATTGAACTCCTTAAATTAGCCTTAAAGTTACATATGTTTTTGTTTTGATCTCTCAAGCGTGTAAACTCATCAGTCGTTTCAGATTATGGTATTCAATAATCTGTTGATGATAGTTTCCAAGAACGGGCATGCAAATTCGACAAGACATGTTTGCTTAATCTTGAAGAATCAGAGTAATTATTACAGTGAAATGTCCTTTTAAAGCATAATAATCAAGTCAACAACAAAAGAAAGCTACATAAACCGTGTTGATTTTTTTGACAAATTTTGAATCTCACTTTGGTTTTGTACAAAGAGGAGGAGAAATTCTTTTATTATAAATAGAGCCATCCTCCTCCTTAGTTTAGTATCTCATAAATATAAGTCTTCTTCTATATTAAATGTTATTTGTACTCTTTCTCTCTCTTTGTAATATTTCCTCTATTAGTGAAATATTATTTTAATAGTGTTCGAGGACGTATACATAATTTTAGCCTAACCTCGTTAAATTTTGGTGTTCTCTTTTATGTTTATTTAATGCTATTGTCGGGTATAGTTGTTGTTAATTATTGTCCTATTAAAATTACTTGTCTTGATAGTTCTGTCTAAGGAGAGTGGGTTTTAAGAGGGACCATTGTGACCCCTCCACTCTTTCCTGAGAATTTACCTTGGGGTGATTTTTAGTACAATCGTTTTCACACTAGTCACCTAGATAATAGTTTTCAAGGTGAATTTGTTATTATTGGTGGAAATTAACCCGAATTCCACAACAATTGACATCAGAACTCTTGTTTTATTTTAGTATGCTATGTGGTTGCGGCTTAGGCTGATCTTTCATATCAGAAAAAAAATTCATTGGGTTAATTGACATTCCGCATTGACATCTATTAAATAGAATTTGTAGCAGAAATGGAAGACGAAACAAAAACATCCACATCGTCGTTAACAACTTCTTCATCTTCAATTTTGGCAAGAAATGTTGTGACAAATGTTAGATTTGCAGTGGAGATTTTTTATGGCACCAGTCATTTCGGCATGTGACAAAGTGAGATTCTAGATACCCTATTTCAGCAGGGTCTAGACATTGCTATTGAATGAGAGAAACCAGATGATGTTGAGGAGAAAGAATGGAAGAAGATCAATAGATTGACATGTGGTACTATTCGATCGTGTCTTTCTAGAGAACAGAAGTATGCATTTTCTAAGGAAACTTCTGCAAGTAAATTGTGGAAGGCACTGAAAGAGAAATTTTTAAAGAAAAGTGGTTATAACAAGCTCTACATGAAAAAGAGATTGTTCCACTTCAACTATGTACCATGTTCCACTATGAATGATCACATTACTAGCTTTAATCAGCTGGTGACTGATCTGATGAATATGGACGTGACTTTTGAAGACGAAGATCTGGCTCTGATGTTGATTGGATCACTTCCTGATGAGTTTGAGTATCTTGAAATTACTCTACTTCATGGGAAGGTTGATATATCTCTCAGTTAAGTAACAACTGCCTTGTATAGTTATGAATTGAGAAAGAAAGACAAACAAGAAAACAAAAGTGTCGAAGCAGAAGCTCTTGTTGTTAGAGGCCGTTTGAAGAGTCGGAATAAAGGAATGAGAGGGAGATCGAAGTCAAAGTTTAGATTGAGCAAAGATGAATGTGCTTTTTATCGAGAAAAAGGGCACTGGAAGAAAGAATGTCCCAGGCTAAAAAATAAAGGCAAACATGAAAGGGGAAAGGCTGTCTCAGAGTCAAATGTGGTCGAATATGATGATGCATATTCAAATTTCGCATTCGCTGCTACGCCATCAACCAACTGTTCCAGTTCATGGCTGTTAGATTCAGCCTGTAGCCACCATATGACCCCCAATAGAGAATGGTTCTTTGATTTTAAAGAACTAAAAGATGGAATTGTCTACACAACAAATAATTCCCCTCTTGACACACTTGGGATTGGTTCAATTCGCTTGAGGAATCAGGATGGATCAATCAGAACCTTAACAGGTGTCCATTATGTACCAGATTTAATGAGAAATCTCATCTCTGTGGGAACCTTAGAGTCAAAAGGTTTAGAAATGAGGGAAAAAGATGGGATTATGAGGATTATCTCTGGTGCACTGGTGATAATGAAGGGAATCCGAAAAAGAAACAATGTGTATTACTTTCTAGGTAGTACAATTATTGGGAAAACAACAGTGGCAGCTTCTACTGATGAACAGGAGTCAGAAGCAACCAGGTTATGACATATGCGCTTGGGGCATGTTAGTGAAAAATCCTTGAAATTGCTGATAGATCAAGGATTATTGAAGGGTGTTCAGGCTTGCAAATTAGTTTTTTGTGAGCATTGCATCAAAGGGAAAAAGACGAGGGTGAAATTTGGAACAACAATCCATGATACTAAAGGTATTTTGGATTATGTTCATTCAGATGTATGGGGGCCTTCCAAGACAACTTCATTGGGATGAACACACTATTATGTCACCTTTGTTGATGATTTTTCCCGGAGAGTTTGGGTGTATACAATGAAGACAAAGGATGAGGTGCTAGGATTTTTCCTTAAATGGAAAAAAATGGTAGAGACTCAAACAGGCAGAAAAATCAAACGTCTCTATACAGACAATGGTGGAGAGTACAAAAATGATCCATTTCTGAAAGTCTGTAAAGAAGAAAGTATTGTCAGACACTTCACTGTCAGATATACACCACAACAGAATGGGGTGGCAGAGCATATGAACCAGACATTAGTGGAGAAGGTTCGGTGTATGCTGTCTAATGCTGGGTTATGCAAAGAATTTTGGGCTGAGGCTTTGGTCTATGCTTGTCACTTTCTCAACTGCTTACCATCGACTATTATTGGTGGTAAAACACCATTAGAGAAATGGTTTGGAGAACCTGTTACAGATTATGATTCCTTACATGTGTTTGGTTACACTGCATACTACCATGTTAAGGAGTCAAAGCTGGATCCAAGAGTAAAGAATGCGATCTTTATGGGGATCACCTCTGGTGTGAAAGGCTATCATCTTTGGTGTCCAGAAACAAAGAAAATAATCTTCAACAGTGATGTTACCTTTGATGAATCTACCATGTTGAGAAAGGTGACTTCAGAAAAATTGGAGCAGACAGATGGAACTCCCAAACAGGTGGAGTATGAATGAAGCAAAATTGTCCCAACCAGTAAAGAAACTGATATTGACTCTCCTATGGTAGAAGAAGAGTCAGATGAAGAAGAGTTTCAGACCCAAGAACCTCCACATCAACATGAATCAATTGCACTCAGAAAGGGAAAGAGGGCCATTAGACAACCTGCTCGTTATGCTGATATGGTCTCTTTTGCATCACTAATTGCAATTGATGACGTTCAAGCCACTTTTAATGAAGCAGTCCAAAGTTCAGAACATAAAAAGTGGAGGATCACCATGAATGAAGAAATGCAATCCCTTCAAAAGAATCAGTGTGGAAACTAGCTAGTCTTCTGAAGGGAAAGAAGGCAATTGGGTGCAAGTGGGTATATACAAAGAAAGATAGATTTCATGACAAGAATAACATCTGCTACAAAGCAAGATTGGTGGCTAAAAGCTACGCTCAAACGGAGGGAGTTGATTATAATGAAGTATTCTCTCCAGTTGTAAAACATTCCTCCATCAGAATTTTGTTGGCTTTGGTAGTGCAGTTGGATTTGGAACTAGTTCAGATGGATGTAAAAACTGCATTTTACATGGAGACTTGGATGAGGAAATCTACATGACTCACCTAGATGGATTCAAAGTTGCTGAAAAAGAAGAGATGGTGTGCAAATTAGAAAAATCGTTGTACGGATTGAAGTAATCTCCAAGGCAGTGGTACAAGCGATTTGACAAGTTTATGATAGGGAAGAAGTACACAAGAAGTAAATATGATCATTGTGTGTATTTACGCAAGCTACAAGACGAAACATATATATATCTTCTTCTTTATGTTGATGATATGTTGATAGCTTCCAGGAGTCAGACAGAAATTGCGAAACTAAAGGTTTAATTGAATAGGGAGTTTAAGATGAAGGATCTTGGTGAAGCGAAGAAGATTCTAGGCATGGAGATATCAAGGGATAAGAAATTGGGGAGGCTTTGTTTGTCTCAGAAAGAATATATGAGGAAGGTACTAAAACGTTTTGGCATGAATGAGAAGTCAAAACCAGTTAGTACACCTCTTTCTCCTCATTTCAAGCTCGGTGCATCCATGTCACCTAAGGATGATGCAGAACGGGAATACATGTCAAAGGTTCCGTATGCAAGTGTTGTTGGTAGCTTGATGTATGAAATGATGTGTATGAGACCCGATATTTCACAGGCAGTTGGGGTTGTGAGTAGGTATATGCATGATCCTGGAAAGGAGCATTGGCAAGCTGTGAAATGGATTTTGTTGTATATTCTGAACACCGTAGATGTTGGTTTGGTCTTTTAGCTGGACAAACAAGATGTCAGTGTGTAGTTGGGTATTGTGATTCAGACTATGTAGGTGATTTGGACAAGCGTCGATCAACTATTGGTTATGTGTTTACATTTGCAAAAGCACCAGTCAGTTGGAAGTCCACCTTACAGTCAACAGTGGCTTTGTCTACTACAGAGGCAGAGTATATTGCAGTTACAATGACTGTGAAAGAGGCAATTTGGCTTCAAGGGTTGCTTGGTGAATTGAGAATGGAACAGAAGCACATCAAAGTGCACTGTGACAGTCATAGTGCTATTCATTTAGCAAAGAACCAGGTTTACCATGCAAGGACGAAGCACATCGATGTTCGATATCACTTTGTACGAGAGATTCTAGAATAAGGTGGAGTCATAATCCAGAAGATTCGGACCACTGAGAATCCTGCTGATATGTTGACAAAAGTGGTAACTGCGGTCAAGTTTAAACATTGTTTAGACTTCGTTAATATTGTTACAAATTTAAAGATGAATTTGCAGACACTACTGAAGATTGGATTTTTGAGAGATGTGTGTGGAATTTGCCAAGGTGTAGATTTGTTGGTTTTTTGGCAAATTTTGAATCCTACATTGGTTTTGTATAAGGAGGAGGGGAAATTCTTTTGTTATAAATAGAGTCCTCCTCCTCCTTAGTTTAGTATCCCACAAATATAAGCCTTCTTTTATAGTAAAGGCTATTTGTACTCTTTCTCTCTCTTTGTAATATTTCCTCTATTAGTGAAATATTATTTTAGTAGTGTTCGAGGACGTAGGCATAATTTTGGCCTAACTTCGTTAAATTTTGGTGTTCTCTTTTATGTCTATTTAATAGCTATTGTCGGGTATAGTTGTTGTTAATTATTTTCCTATTAAATTACTTGTCTTGGTAGTTCTATCTAAGGAGAGTGAGTTTTAAGAGGGACCATTGTGACCCCTCCACTCTTTCCTGGGAATCTCCCTTATGGTGATTTTTAGTACAATCGTTTTCACACTAGTCACCTAGATAATAGTTTTCAAGGTGAACTTGTTATTATTAGTGAAATTAACCCGAATTTCATAACAAACCCACCGTCACTGTTCTCTCTCATGTCAAATCAACTGATTAATACATGGGATAACGGGAAATTAAAGAGAAAAAAATAAACCATATCTTCTCTTTACCGGCCGGGCCACCTAACATATACAGGGATGATTTTGAGCATTATCAGATCAAATTTTTGACCTACTCGAATTATATCTGAAAATTAAACATTTTACATGCACCAGATCTGGATTTAGGGGAACCCACCCAGTCTGGCTTAATTTTTTAAATCATAATTCACATTCGATTCAACTCGATCTAAATATATATAACTTATTAGATAAAATAATATTTAATTAAAATTATATAGAAAGAGTTATTATTGCAGATATCCTAAATATATAAGAGATAATTATAAAATTAAATTGAGTAAGTTTTTTACCCTAAACTTAAACTTGATATGACCCAATCATACCCTCAAAATTACTTGATTCCACCTTAATTCGAATTCTCCAAATAAAAAAAACCAATACAATTAAATTGAGTCGAATCAAAACATGTAAAATACACGTCCCTAAACATATAGCATTGAATATGACTATATTGTATATGTTTATATTTAATATTTTAAAAAATAATTGAGAAGGGTCATATATGCTTATAAGAGTATTTGAAGTATGCATAAAACACAAATATTTGAGAAAAAAATGAAAATTGAAGCAACATAGCTTATTATCAAGAATTCACAGGATTAATTAGCTTAAAGGAACAAAGCAAAGCTGAAGAAATCTTAAAGTGGTTTTATATCAGAAAACCATGTAGTAAGACAGAAGTAGATCCCCAAACCGGAAAGGAATTTGCAAGGTTAATGAGAAGAACAAAATCATATGACAAACAAAATATCTATGCAATATGAGTTTGGTACAGAAACATTCTAAATTGACAGAACTAACATTCCAGAAATTTAGAGTGCAAGATGAAGGCTTGAATTTTGGTCAGATATTAACCAACATACACGTGGATACCAATAGCTAAGAGCAAGATGCAAAGGAGTGCAAAGTAAATTACGGAATGCACCAAGATGGATACTCCACTGGTTTGGAAGTTGCCAAACTCAATCACCCGTGATTTTCCTGGAACCTGAATCAACAGCCCCGGTGTTAGCAGTATGAACAGCACCACCGCCACGAAAATCGGCCCCCAATCGGACATCTTTCGTCACCCTTTGTATTTGTCTCGGCAACCCTTCACTGTTAATCACTTGGTGGTATGATCCGATCTATGATGAATATATGGAGATAATGGAGATGAAAAAGGGAAAAGGAAAAAAAGATGGTTATAAATTATAATGGTATGGTGTCTTGCTTTAGGAAGAAGAGACAAATGGTTTGATGACTAGGAAAGTTAAGGTTAGCGAATCAAGCTGCTAGGATTCACATTTTTCTTCCTTTATGTTGTTTTTATCGTATGCACTTTGCTGTAAAGGATAATGCTTTCATCTCCTGATTATGGAAATCTGTTTTTAATTTTCTGACATATTGCATGAGTTCGGGTTAACTATGCGTACTTTTATCATTGAAACCATTCAATGAGTTATTATAATTAAAGTTCGAATGCATGTGTATGGATGACTTTTTGAGAATCATCATAAACAAGGAAGCAAACCTCCATTATTTTGCTCACAAAAAAACATGGAAGATAAGTTGTTGTCAATTAAAGCTTTTTATTATATAATTTGCGACAACAATGACACCAGATAGCAAAGAGATGAAAGACAAGACAGAGAGAATGTGGGTAACTTTTTTTTATTTTATTGTCAAATGCTCCTTGTTCAAGAATTAAAGGCTATGCAGTTAACCCTTATCTGTCCTGCTTGACCGGTCTTAACTCCAACCCTTCCAAGTTTCCTCATTTCTGCACGAAAGGTCCACTGAAATTCTCAGGGTTATTAGCAAAATTAATCACAGTTGCTTGAGATGCTTTATTAGTGAAGAGCAGAGCATCTGAAGTAAACAACCCCATCTTGTTAAGTAGGTTCTTGAAATATAAGTTATCGAAACTTTGTGGCGTTACAGGATCCATTTTGATGGCGATTAGAGGGTCGACATCTCGAGGGCAAGCTTGCATCAATTACTGTGCATAGGTCGAATTGAGATCCGGATCGACAGTGACTACAGAGAAAATGATTATAACCGATTCACGAAGCGAGTGCAGTGAGCGAAGCCTAAAGTATGAGCTCCTGAGAGTGCAATCATATAGGTCTGATTAAGGTTGTTCTTGGAGAAAATGGCGTTGAGTTGAGTGAGATTGAAATTAGGCTCTGTTAGATTTCCTGCTACCCTTGATGCCATTGAAACAAGGCCATCACGTCGTCCCAATTCCACTTTGAATGAAGGGCCACCAGTCTGCAATTAGGACACATGAGTTATGTTTTACCATAACTCTAACAATGAATCAAAGGCATTATTCCTTACCAGTTCTATAACATCCCTGGTAGCAATGGCCAATATATTGGCGCACGAGACTACTCGAGGGCAACTTTTTTCGACTGCTCTTTATTACGGTATCGAATCCATCTCCAGCCAACGAAAGATTATCCGGAGCATCCTTCTCGGCATCCCCATTCGGTGAAGCTATCATCACCGATGCATCACAACCCTACAAAAAAAAAACTGCAAGTTTGTTCCAACTCTTACATACAAAAGTTCACATGTAAGATATGAAAGCAAAATCCAACCTCAAAGAAGCAATCATGGAAGAACAGACGCAGGGTTGCAGGTACTGTGACGAATGTCAGTTGAATCTTCTGTGCCACCACTTGTCTTACAATGGACTCCACTCTCGGACAACTAGTATTGTAAAATGTCTCAGATAATTGTCCCTGTCCCCTTTACATTATCATGCAAACTAGGAACAATATCATCAACACTGTCCTGTTCGCCGCCATTTATTGTCTTGTCAACTTGGCTTACTGTATATAAAGAAGAAGGTGAGAAGTGGTAAGTCTTATAATTTGGTGGAGAAGACATGCTTGATCCACAATTCAGTTGATTCAATCATATAGAATATTAATTTATCTCGTTGACCTGAATCAGTCATTTTGTATTCGTGTATCCAACAGCACAAAAAATGTATCTTTTAAATGCATTGACAAGCTATCACAAAGAATTAATTACAAGACCTTTCCAAATATTTATTTGATGATGTTCTACACCTATGTCAAACTAGAATGAAAATACAAAAACAAAGGAAGGACTTGGGCTAGGGTTCAGCGTTCGATCAAGTCGAGTCAAGTCAAAATATTTCGAGTTATTCGAGTTGACGAGTCCTATTTTACAACTCGAAGTTGACTTGAATTTTTTTTCGAGTCGAGTTGTTAAAGTTTTTCTATAAAATAATAATTTTTCATTAAAAAAGGGCCTCATTAAAACCTCATTCTTATCCGAGTCATGCCGAAGCAAAATCAAAGACAGCAGAAGGAGGAAAAAGAGTACCCCATAATATATTAATAACTAAATCGAACAATTACATAGTACAGTTTAGAAAATCCAATATCACAAGATCATAAAAAAAACAAAGCAATGATAGTCTGAAAATTCAATTACAACAAGTTACTTCTTGAGTTCTCGAATTATATTGTCGAAAACCTTTGACATCGTCTTCTTCTTCATGCACTGTCGGTAACTTTGAAAAAACTTCTTATTTATCGACTATTCTTGATAAATCTAAAAAAGTTAAAAACAAATTTGTTAGTTAAATTATAAATAAATTTATAATATAAATGAAGTAAAAAAAATAACATCACGAATCAAAACTAAATATTATCAACTTCATTATCTCTACAATGTACTCGTCAAGGTTGATGGGTTTCTTAGATTTCCGAAGCCAATCCTGAGTGCAAATCAAAGCTTCAACCATCATCGGATTTAATGAACTTCTAAAACCATCTAGAATACGTCCACCCTACTGAATGCACTTTTCTGAGGCAACTGTCGTAATAGGAATCGAGAAAACAACTCGAGCCATTTGTGCAAGAACAGGGTATATTGGATTATTCATTTTCCACCACAATAATAAATCAAAGGAACTCGAGTTGTTTTCATCTTCCTCCATAGTTAAATATTATCCAGCTTAGATTTTTGTTCCAAACCAACTCGTGTTTCTTCAACAAATATTGTTACAGGACCAAACTCGCCTTTGATTGATGTAAGTCCATAAACATAGATACTTTTGTTGGAATACTTGATTGACCTTCATGGCTCATAGTTCTCCCAAAAATGGAAGAATATTAATCAAACAAACAATACAATTCTTTATCAATCATCTTTATAACCTTGCTAGCAACATTAGGAAAAACCAAGTATACCCCAAAATTCACAAAGCCCATTTTTCATCGTGAATCCTAAGTAAACTATGAAGTTGATATTCTTGACATCACTCCAATACTTGTTGTACTTCTCCTTCATTTTTGAAGCCATGGAGATTATTTCCAAGTCCTCACAATTTATCCATCCATCAAGTAAACAATGCATGTTTATCAATGTTTCCCAAAAGAAATGATAGGTGACATGCAGTGATTGGGACACCTTCAATGCAAGATCATAAAAAGACTCGAACTTTTGCAATTCTTGAACATTTTCCCAATCATCAAATGTAAGGACTCCTTCTCCAATTGTGAGGTCGAGAAAAAAACTATTGTTATCACAAGCATATGAATCAAATGCATGTTCATATTTTTCAACCACCTTCAACATCATATATGTTGAGTTCCATACAGTAGGCATATCTAAATGCAAATGAGCTTTAGTATCTATCATTTCTTCTTCTGCTCGATCATAGAATTTTTTCATCCTTGATGATGATGCTCTTATGTACCTCACAATAGCTCTTACTCGATCAACAAACAAAGAAACTTACTTAACACCTTCTTGCATGATGAGATTAATAACGTGTGCAACACATCTCATGTGCATATATTTTCCATTTGCAGCATAAGTATTTCGATGGTTCAGTTTCTTTCTCAAATATTCAATACCAACACCATTAGCAGATGCATTATCAACTGTAATAGTGAAAACGCTCTCAATCCCTTAATTTCGAATGCATTTTTCAAGGGCTTGACCTATGCTTTCACCTATATGATTAGATATCAGACAAAATTTTATGATTCTCTTTCCATTCATCATCTATCCAATGTACCGTTAAAACCATGTAAGATACCATTTGCTGTGAAGTCCAAGTGTCATTTTTCAAACAAATTCTACTTGTATCTTTTTCAAAACCATTCTTCATTAACCTCTTCAGGGAGTTGAATAAATCGAGACAATCCCTTATAATTGTAAAACGAGAAGGGAGATGACATCTTGAACATGTCAGAGAAAGAATTGAATTAAACACTTATCCCTCTACAGTTTGAAAATGTGGTGTGAATCAATGCCTTTTTAATAGCATATTCTTCAAACTTCTAAGTTGAAAGTTTTGTTACTTCACTTTCAAGGTGAACATGAAGTATTGTTATTTTTTATTGTGTAGAATCTGAAGTCTTGCCTCGAGGTTTTCTTAAGCATGTCTTCAAATGATTATTCAAACTGGTTGTAGAACCCCTGGTTTCCATGGAATAATTTTGGCATTTTATTTCTTTCGAACACTTTTATTACCCGGTCTCGTTGGATCATTGACTTTACATATAGAAGAACTTTGTGAACTTTGAGTTGAACTATGACCGCATGGTTGTAAGCTTGAGTCCCTTGTGATTCACTTATCTACAATGTCATAAAAAAACAATAATTATGATGAGTTTACAAAACATAAAAGACAAAATCAGATCATAACTATGAATAACATATGAGATTGTATGTGCATGTTTTGATGTTATAAATTTGAAATATGCACATAAAAGACTTGAGCATCTTTGAAATTCTTCACCAAAATAAATATCATATGAAATTATATGTGCATGTTTTGATGTTATAAATTTGAAACTCCATTGCAATAATAGATCATCCTGAATAAGATATTCACCCTCAAGTCTAGTGTATAAGTTACTACACTTAAGTTTATGATTTTATTCTTTTGTTGCAAGCAAGTTTCCTCAAATTCAGTGTATAAGATATTCTTTTGTTGTCGACTCATTGAGTTATGTCGATTTCAATAGCGTGAAAGGAAGAGAAATCGAAAACGAGAAGTTGATAAGCGTTCTTGATTTTCAAAACATTATATACAAAAATGTCGATGCACGTGGATTGATAACTAGATTTTAGTTCTTACAGGTAATGTATGCTTTTATGAGACATGTTCAAAAGAATTGCTTTATGTGGCTTATATGAGACACATAGAACCAGAGTAATACTTGGTAAAAATTAAAAGATAACAGTTTGTCAAGTTTTGTTGAAGGCACTGACAATCTATA